CCTCATGGGGTCTTCAGGCGAGATGCTTTAGCATCTAGGTGATTTTATGTGATATTTATATATGTTTAATACTGTACGAATTTATGCACCCCTTTAAGGGTTGGTACATATCTTGTATTGTGGGATCCACCGCCTGAGCAAGAAATCTCTAGTCTGAATCTTGAATGGAATCCTTTGTGGCCAATTGATGCTAAACTCCGAGCCAGGAATCTGCCATGCATCCGAACCCTGAACCGCAAACGAACTTAAATTAAGTTACTGTAATGGGTATATATGAGCTATAGTCTAAACTCCTTCAGGGGGGTCATATAGGGGATTATATAGGGGACTACTGCAGGGCCTATGAAAAGGGGTACTAGGAGTTTAGACTATAGCTCATATGGTCTCCCCAATATAGTAACTGAAAAAAACTTCCTCAACAGCAGCCCAGAAAAAGCACTGCCAGAGCTTGTGGGCCGAAGGAATGGCACCTCAGCCATACGGAGGTCGTGGAGCTCCCAGAGGTGGCGGCCCCTGCCCCCAGTCGAAGACTAAGGAAAGTCATATGAGCTATAGTCTAAACCCCTCAATGGGGGGTTTTATAGGGGAATATATAGGGGATTACTATAGGGGTTATTGAGGGGGATACTAGGAGTTTAGACAATTGCTCATATAGGGTTACTTTGGGGGTTATATAGGGAGTATATGAGGGTTATCTAGGGGTTATGTAGGCGCATAGGGGGGGTATGTAGGGGTTCTGCGTAGCGTGTCACATTCCAAGACATGGTGTTGCTATCATAATTTTGAAATCTGGTTTGGGCACATGTACCTCAGGTCTTCCTTTCTACTGGCAATGCCAATGACAGGGTTTTTGCAGCATCATACTTGCCCCTGTAGGGTACAGGCGGGGTGGTAGCCAGTTTACGCTTGAAACAACGCCCCGACCACAAGCTCCTAGGAACAATTGCCACAGCCGGCTCGGGCCTAAACTCACATTCCGTGCATGCTAGCCAGGTGTACACTTCAAATCGGCCTTACGTTTTGGAGTTTCAGAGCTTCTTAAAATCGCCAGCTAGAGTCTATGCAGACCTCATAAAAAACTGCTAGGAAATCATCCATTTTAGCGTGAAAGACAGTTACGATGGTGATCATTTCGAGGTGTAGGTAGGCTTTAGAGTCTAGCCTGCATTAATTTTGACATTGGCTGACTCCCTGAACCTAAGAACGCCTAAAATCGTAAATCTCGAGCCTAAATTTGACTCGCAAGCAGCATCCGCCTGCCTATTTCATCATCATCATCATCATCATCTCGCGTGAGAGCCCACAAAACCATGAACTTCTGACTTAGCCGTCGTTTACAGCAGGAAATTCCAATTGTTTCCAGACCCGTCAATCGAATCAGGCTGACAACTGCTTACCAATCCTTTCGGGCCTATGGTTTGAGATCTTCCCTGATGTTGCACGATTCAGGCCACGGAGTCCTTTCAGGTGCACAGGTGTACGCAAGCTGCGTTCATGGCCCGATTTTAAACAAAATCTTAGCCCCTGAATTCCAATCCTCCAGCCTATCCAGACCCTAGGAGGATCCCTCTGAGGTTATAGTCCCCCTTAAGTAGATAGAATATGGGGTAGATCGGGATCTTATTATAATATACCCAAAGCCATATTCTATCTGCTTAAGGGGGACTATACACCCTAAACCCTAAACCCTAAATAGTGGTTTCCATCTCATTTTCCATTATCCCTATATAACCCCAATATAACCCTAATATTCTACCCACAGGCCATATTCTATCCCAAGGTACAGAACAATAGAGGTCCCATTCTTCCTTAGTCCAGGCCATGGTTTCTTTTGGGGGTGCCCTGAAGCTCTAACTCAAACCGCAGATCTTTCCAAACAGCTCATTTTGAAGGCCCAAATCCCTAAACCCTAAACCCAAGTCTTTAGATTGCTATAGTCCCACTTAAGTAGATAGAATATGGCTTTGGGTATATACTAATAGTAAGATCCCCATATACCCCATATTCTATCTACTTAAGGGGGACTATAACCTCCGAGCTTGCGGAGCAGGAGTTAGACTCTCGCGATGATCTGAAACTTCCCGCGCGGTGGCAGGTGCTCCTTGTGTCTGGAAGTTGAGGCTGCAAGATGAGGGTTTAGGGTTTAGGGTTCAAGGTTGCATCTAATGGAAACTAACGGGATTATAGGTGTTATATTGGGATAAAATTGGGGTTATATTGGGGTTATATAGGGATAATGGAAAAGAAAATGGAAACTATCATGTAGGGCTTTGGGGTTGAGTGTTTAGGGTTTAGGGTTGAATTTATCCAACTTGCTGTTATCCAACGGGAGGAAAAGCATGGATGGATGAGGATTGTGGAGGTAAGCAGGCAGAGGAAATTGTATCAGACTAGTCCAGGCAGATCCCTCGTGATGACCAGGCGCACCCGTCGCATCACGTGTGCATAGACTCAACAAGCAAGAAAGGTTCCATGGTTTGAGTAGCCCGGAGACGTTTCCTGCCAAATAGGTGCAGGGGACAACAGGAGGCAGGTATTAGTCAATTTCCTGGGGGGCTGCTAAGGAACTAAAATTAAGCTACTAAAGAGAGGAAACTTACTGTACACCTGTATTGTGGTAACTTAATTGAAGGTTCTCAACAGCAACCCAGTTTCTCGCAGGTGCTGTTTCTCCGGGACGTATACTGCTATTGTGCCGGCCTCAGGTTCGCCAGGTACATGGTAGCAACCTCATCCGACCTCTCCACATTTTGATGTATGTGTAAGGTAGCCCCAAATATGGTTTAATATCAAGTCTTGCAGGGTTTGGCCAGGTCTTTGCGAACACAAAGCTAAGAACCTCAGTTTGGCAAAATAACACCACAAAACGGGAACCAGGCGTCATCTCTAGTGCTGCAGCCGTGTTACAGCGTTGTTAGTCATGTCTACAAGGCCACCCTTGATTCGTAAGCCCTGGGCCTATATCCCAGGGATGTTGAGCTGAGGCCAAACCTTTCATGCTTTCTCGAAGGACATCTGTGCTCCAATAGTTTAGAACGAGACATCGGGGTTGTACGGGACCAAAGCCAAAACTCTACCCTAAACCCTAAACCCTGAACCCTAAACCCTAGACCCCTAAACCCCTAAACCCCTAAACCCCTAAACCCCTAAACCCCTAAAACCCAAAAACCCCTAAACCCCTAAACCCCTAAAACCCCTAAACCCCTAAACCCCTAAAACCCCTAAACCCCTAGACCCCTAAACGGGCATCGACTTCCAGCTACCCCAGGCAAGTCGGAGGGTACCTTTCAGCTCAACTTCACAGAGCTCGAGCGACTTAGCTCAATGGGCTGAGCCCTATGAAGTTTAGGATTTAGGATTTAAAGGGTTTAGGGTTTGAGATTTAGGGTGTAGGAGTTAGGCTTAAAAGGTTTAGGGTTTAGGATTTAGGGTTTAGGATTTAGGGTTAAAAGGTTTAGGGTTTAGGATTTAGGGTTTAGGACTTAGGGTTTAGGCTTCGGGGTTTAGGTTTGGGATTGCTGTAATGGAGTTGGAGCACGGAGGTTGGATAACTTATGCTGATTCTTTTCGTGTATAGGTTTTGTGCTTGTGGGATGCTGATGTTCTAAGCTTACCTGGTGTTGGCCGTATGAAGGAAAGGAAAAGAAACAGCAAGCTATTACTATATGATCGGGGGCTATACAATGATTACTGTAAGGATCCATTCCTTCATTCCTTGCTAGCCAGAGATAAGTAAGGTTCTAGCTCATACTTGATGTAAGTTCTAGGGCCTTAAGTTTAATGCGGGTCCCGCCCCAGCCTTTCCCAGAATTGTTGCTGGCGAAGTCTGGGGCTAGTTTGGGAAGGCCACTGTGGGATCTTGACTTGTATTTGGTAGTTGCCCAAAACAAGCCCCAACATAGATCCAAAAATATTGTAATCCTTACTATAGGTACCCTAAAAAGATACCCCGAATTTGGGAAACCCCCATTTGGGGGAGGACATGCTTTTTGTGAGTACAAGTGTAAGGCCAGCCAGAACAGCAAGAATGACTTGATTGACATCCACACACTGCATCAGACAACGAACTTAGTGGCCATAAGGTAGGATTTGGGCCGGATGCATCTGTGAAAATCTGACATTTGTGATACCTGAAACACACATGACGGGAGGCTTTCGGTCTGAAATTCTGATGGCTGGATGTGGGAGATTGCCTTGGTGGATGTTCCGCAGAGAATCCATGGATGTCTGAGCCTGCGCACCCTTTTGTTAAATGTCAGAGGGCCGACGGCACGCTTACCGGTTGGTCCGTAGGGACCTTGCACGTTTGGAAGCTCCGTTAGTCCCATGGCCTCTTTGTACAGTCCTGTGTATGGATTGGACATCTTGGACTACGTAGACTGTAAGCTGCTTGTAGTGGCCTCAGTACCACGAGGCTTGAAAGAGCACCCAAGCTAATCCCTAAACCCTAAACCCTAAATCTCAGTTGTTGAAGAATGGGCTGTGCCCTGCCTTGCAAGGCTATAGGCCAATGTTTTCGAGAAGCCTGAATGTAGATAAGTTCCTTAAAGGGGTTAGATGGGGATAGTGTAAGGATTGTAGGGGTTATTTAGGGGGACACTAGGAGTCTAGACCCCAAACCCTAAAGAGACTATGGCTCATGTTAAGGGGTATACTAGGAGTTAAGACTATGGCTCAAGGAGTAGGCCCTAAGTAGTAGTTTCCATTGTATTTTCCATGATCCCTATATGACCCACTTCTCTTAATTTGCCAAATCCTATCTGCAGTTTCCCTGCATTGCTTTTGGAAAGCCCCAGCGAACTAAAGCTCGACACCTACTGGTACTTAAGGAGGAGTGAGGGAATGAATATAGGTACCATTGTAGGCGTGTACGTGGGGATTGGATAGGAATTATCGTAGGTCTCCACTCCCCCACTCTCCCTTAAGCACCAGTAGGTAGGCCAATGTGGAGACGATGTCCAAAACCCTCAGCCCTAAACCCTAAACCCTAATTTCTGAAGGTACGGGCTACAGCGGAGTTTGACGCCCGATCTGTGGGATCTGGTCACTCGTCTTTTCCCTTAACTGGGTTGCTGTTAAGGAACTCAAATTAAGTTACCATACTGGGCATGTATATATACATATATAAAGTATATAGGGTTCAGGATTTAGGGTTTAGGGTTTAAGTTACCATGATAGGTGTATATATATATATATATCTATAAAATGGCAATAAATGTGGTTTCCCCAATATAGTAACTTAAATTAAGCATCTCAACAGCAACCCATCTGGTCTTGAGGTTGCGAAGGATCGCAGTGATAAGAGCTATAGGACTAGACCCAAATGGGCTATTCCCAACTTTTAGGGTTTAGGGTTTAGCCCTTTTGGTTACAGATTATATTACGGCACCTAATATTTAGGGGTACCCAAACTGGACCCTAATTTTTGAGAACTACTCAAATACGGGAGCGCGCATGTTCAGAGATCGTGGCGGATTTTTGTCACCTGCTGTAGTGACAGGGTTTAGGGCTAGGGGGAATGAGATAATGGATTCCTTTTGTGAACTCGATGCATGATTATATTGCCCTTCTTAAGCTTCTGAAACCCATTTCCAAGTCTCCATCCCCTGTTTGGTTGAGTCCATGCCTTTGGCCTTACGGGTTAAAAGGTGAGGGTTTCTTTCCCGGTGCTTCTCCAACATCTACGGGCCAGCAGCTGCAATCCAGATGACAAACCAAGAATTTGACCTGCGTGGCCGTCCTGTATGTCTGGATGAAATGATGTTTCTTCTGATGCAGGCGGTGCAGATGATGTGATGACGAAGATGCACCACTTTTGGGTTGCGAAAGGTCGGTGTTCATCCAATTCTCAGCAAGAGGGCACGAACTACAAATTGCTTCTGTTTGATGTTCATGAGGCAAAACCTGCTATTGCTCCAAATCGAGCTACCCTAGTAGTCCTGGATGGCCAGGTTTGCTCGTAATGCCCTTAGAAGAGTGTGGATAGGGTACCCCAATCCATATTGCTTTCCAAAGGAGCTACCATTTTCATGGGTGGGGGGGCAGCAACAGGCCCGAACCCCAGTATCCCAAGAAGACCAGCCCCAACTGCAACCCTGCGCCTCTAAAGCTTACTATATAAGCCAGCATAGTACTTTCCATTTTCTTTTCCATTATCCTCGTATAACCCCCCCATATAAGCTAAATATTGCCTTTATATACCCGATATATCCGGACAACTCAGGTTCTGGACTCTAAATTACTAGGAGCTGCCGCAGTTTTGGTCTAAGAGGCCCGGATGCGCAGAAACGAAGCACAAAATCCTATCCTCATGCGCTTATAAAACCAGAACTGATTCCTCATGCGTGCCTTCATTTCGACTTCGTGGTCCGCGCCTCCTTACAAAGTTCCCAACCTCCCAGACAAGGTCCCTTGTTCCTTGGGTTGCCAGTCTGGAAATCATGCCCAAACCTAAAAAAGACACTTAAACCGTAAACCCTAACACCAAAAGCCCTAAAACCAAAACCCTAAACTAAAAACCAAAACCCTAAACATTCAGAGAGGCTGCATAGCAGTGAGAGGGTGGAGGCTCCCTCTAAAGTCACGTAGAGTTCCACTCTAGCATAAATTTCCCAAAATTAGGGGTACCTTATGATGAGGGTTCTGGTATTTTTGGGTCTATATTGGGGTCCCTTTATTTTGGAAAACTATCAAATCCTAAGCCAAGAATGGGCTCCCCAAACTCACAAGATCCCCAAAAAATCTTCTACTACTTCTGCTGCTACTGCTACTACTGCTACTACTGCTACTACTGCTACTGCTACTACTGCTACTGCTACTACTACTGCTACTTCTATTACTACTACTATTATTACTA